TAGATTTTGTCAAATGTTTCTTCTGCATGTATGGGATTGATTATGTGATTTTTGTTCTCATTCTGTTAACATCGTGTATTACATTGATTACTTTTCAGATATCATAACAACCTTACATTTCTGGATAAATTCACCTGGCACTTGGTCATGATTTCTGATATTTTCTCTATATTGCTGGATTTGGTTTGCTAGTATTTTGTTGAGGATCTTTGTGTCTGTACTCAAAAGGGATATTGGTTTGTAGTTTTAGGGGTTTTTTTTTCCTTGTGTTTTTGCCTGGTTTTGGTAGCAGAATAATAATGAGTCCATAGAATGAATTGGGAAGTGTTCCTTCCTCTTCTTTTTTTCACAAGAGTTCGTGAGCAATATGTGCTATTTTTTCTTTAAAGTTGGTAAAATTCACTAAGAAAGTCATCTGGTCCTGGGCTTTTCTTTGTGAGAATTTTTTTTCATTACTAAGTTAATATCTTTACTTGTTATAGGATTATTCAGATTGTCTATTTCTTCTTCAATCTGTTTGATAGCTTGTATTTTTCTAGAAATTTGTTCATTTCATCTCAGTTATCTAATTTTTTTGGCATACAGTTGTACATAGTGTTCTCATACAATCCTTTTTACCTCTATAAGGTTGGTAGTGATATCCCCTCGTTCATTCCTGATTTTAGTAATTTAAATTTGCTCACTTTTTTTTATTGGTCTGTCTAGTTAAAGGTTTGTCAATTTTGTTGTTGTTTTCAAAGAAACCAATTCTTGGTTTAATTGATTTCTTCCATTATTTTTCTATTCTCTATTTCATTTGTTTCTGCTCTAATCTGTACCACTTCCTTTCTTCCAGTTTCTTTGGGTTTAGTTTGCTCTTGTTTTTCTAGTTTTTCAAGATGGAAGCTTTAGTTATTGATTTGAGAACTTTCTTTTTTTTAATGTAGATGTTCATAGCTATGAATTTCCCTCTGAGAACTGCTTTTGCTGCATCCCATAGTTTTAGTGTATTATGTTTTTGTTTTCATTCATCTAAAGGTACTATATAAATTCCCTCATGATTTATCCTTTGATTTATTGGTTATTTGTGAATGTGTAGTTTAATTAGTGCACACATGAATTTCCCAAATATTCTTTTGTTTTTGATTTCTAATATAATTCCATGACAGTTGGAGAACACATTTTATACTATTTTAATTTCTTTGAGTTTATGAAGCTTGTTTCATGTCCTAACATATGGTCAATCCTAGAGAATATTGTCTGTGCACTTGAGAAGAATGTGTATTATACTGTTGTTGGGTGCAGTGTTCTATATATGTTGAGCGCATTCTCTTTCAGTAATCACTTTTTTTTTTTCAGTTTTTTTGGCCTATAAACAACAGAAATTCATTTCCCTCAGTTACAGAGGCTGGAAAGTCCAAGATCAAAGCACCAGCAGATTTAGTGTCTGAGGAGGGCCCACTTCCTTCATCATGGATGACCATTTTCTAGCTGTGTCCTCACAGGGCAGAAGGCATCAATAATCATCATTTTTGATGTAAGTAAGGAAGTATTAATGGAGAAAAATAAAGACAATAACTCTTTGTTTAAAAAAAAGGCAAGAATTCAAGGGTGTAGAGCAGGATTTTGCAGTTGACCACCTTTATCTTTCTCAAAGAAAAGTAACACACTATAAATTAAACAAAATTGATACCTGTCATAAAACTAAAATTCTCCTTAGGAATTTAAAAATACATAATGTAATATGACACATGGTTAAATCAACAAACCAATATTTTTTAGGCTATGTGTTTTATCTCTCTTTATTAAAATTGTTTTTTTTTCTTCACGTAGCTTATCTTCTCCACTATTTCTTCTCATTTTTTGGGGGGTGGGGGACAGGGCGGGGACACATTACCTCTCTTTAGTGCCTTCAGTTGCTTAGGTTTGGTTATTCCTGAACCAAGTTTATTATAGTCTCCAAACTGGTGTCTTAAGTAGAGACTGGGGGATTATCTTAATAACAACAATAACAGCATCTGTCAAAAGTTCAGAAATAACTGAAGTAAAACAAATGAATCATAGAAGTAGTAATTAGTAAAAGTTTATTGTGCACATACCAAAAAAAATAGTTCACGAACTGGGAGCACTCAAACCAAAACTTGGACTGAGGCTCGGGGCTATGCTGTTATAAAGTAGCTTACCCAGTGACAAGGGAGTGTTTGTTTATTTTTCACAGTGACTGGTTACAATATTAGAATTTTCTTACATGGTAGGGAATTGGTTAGTGATTGTTTCATATCAACCTTGAGTAACATTTTGTTTAGTTTATGATTTCCAGGGGTAAAAACAAGAAATGACCCAGGTCAAGTTTATACAGCTAAACTTATTTTATCTGCTCCGGTGTTTTTAAGGTTGGTCTCCATCTATTTTTTTATTTTAAAACATCTAATGTTTATTGAGTGGTTACTTCCCACTCATGCATCTTTTACATGCATTTTTGCATTTAATTCTCACAACTAATCATTGAGGTAGTTATTATTTTTATTCCTACTTTATGGATGAGGAAACTGAAGAACAGAGAGACTAAAGGCACTGAACTACCAAGTAGCTGAAATTCAAACCCAGATCACTCTAATTTTACACGGTGTGTGTTTCAGCTCTAACATAGTGATTAAGAGCATAGGTTCTGGTGATAAACTGCCTATGTTCAAATCCTGGCTGGTGCTAGATACTACTTTTGTGGCTTGGGCAAGTTCTCTAACTTCTGTCTCAGTTTCTCCATGTGTAAAATAGGGATATTAACAGTACCACCTCATGGGGTTTTTGTAAAGTTTTAATATAAAAAATTAGTGTATGTGGAATGCTAAGTATTTAGAACAGTACTTGGTAAACACAAAAGTGTTTGTTATTATTATTGTTGTTATTTAGCAATGTTTTTGAAAGCTCCATTGGTAATTCTACTCCCCTTCCTTTAGTTCCCTCCTTATCCCTAATCTCCTTTGAGAATCATTGTTCTAGATTCTTGTTCTCATCTCATATTTATCTATTTCTGGACTAACACATCACCAGCATGGAGGGCCAACTAAAGGAATACCACTGCCTTCAACCCAGCTATACATTTCTACTTCCCAAATTTCCCCGCCTGTCACTTTTACGTTCATGGTTTATTATTTAAACTTCTAGTTTCTGTGGGTCCATAGCAAAGATCTGAAATATAGGCATAGGCTGAGTAGAGGCAAGGCAGTGAGAGTGGCCCTGCTTCTTGTTACATGACCTTGCTGATCTTTCCTTCCAGTTATGTTTTTGAAGTTGATGGTTTTATTGTGGTTTAATTTTTGAAAACAACGCACTAATTTTTCTTTCCTCTGTAAAAACTATGACAAAATTAAGTCAGTATAGGAGTAAAATGTGCTTAGCGCAGATGTTCCTATTGACCATCGGCCTTTAAAAAACCAGATACTGTTTGAGAAGGGCTAATGGGCTCGTGGGGTTATTACGTCAGAGTGTGCACAGCTCTTCTTCACGTGGGGTAAAGAGAACTAACCCATTCATTCTAATTTTAGCGCTTAAAACAAAATGAAATAGAATGACCCATAGACAAGTTGGAATCTGTTTTACTGTCTCCTTCAAACTTGCATTTTTTCTTTAAAAAACTCACTTATTACGTGAAGCAGAAGGATATCATCCCACTTCTTTATTCGTACACTTGAAACAATACATAGACTTCAAGTGCTGGTTTTGATTGTGGTTAATTTGAAGTTACAGTGTAAATCCCCATGAGCATAGTGGAGTTTTCCTCATGATTTATGGTGTTAATGTGTTTTTTCCTTCTGAAGCAATTTAAAATAATATTTTTAAAGTTTTGGTCTGGAAATGTCATTTTATCTTTTTATTTTTTCTCAGTCTACATTTGTATTTGCCACTTTAGCTTTGAATTGAGAAATGATAAATAAGGGACAGCAATAAGAAAGTTTACAAAGTTTGAGAGGAATTGATTAAGGTATATTATTATGAAAATAAATTCAAAGCTAAGATTGTGATTGTTTTCATATGCTTCAATTATTATCAAGTAAATCTTAAATTATCTTATACTTCTGAAGGTTCCAAATAAATTTAGATTTTCTACATACAGCAGATTGGAACATAGTAATTTACTGTCTTTTCTGCTTATTGGACTTAAATTGTGGATCTACTAGGCATCAAGTGCCATATTAAATATAACCAATGTTTTCAATCAAGTCACGAATACAAATTTGATCCATGCTATTCTGTATGGATTAGGATAGAGGTTTATACATAAAAGTTACTATAAGAAGATGTAGCATCAGGATATGCAGAGTCATGCTGGAGACATCCATGTGTTTTCTCATTTTCACACTTAGATTGCTAGGTTAGTTCGAAGCTAAATTCTAATTCCATTTAGGTTTATAGAATAATCAGCCTTCGCCTTTTCCTGACCAGTTTCCAATTATTTAGCCTTTTTCCTCTAAAATCCATGGAGCAGAGTTAAGCACTATCTTCCCTCTAATTTCATAGCATATTCGAAGGAGCTTTGTAGGGAATGGAACAGGTTGACACAGTACCAACCATGAAAAAAGGCAGGTTTCTTGAATCCTATCTTTGTTGTGCTAAATTATTTGGGAAACACTGCAGTCATCATTATTCAAGAGTAAAGTGACACTGAAAAACAATATATATTTCTCAAGGTAATCATTTAGATTTATTTTAAAAAGAACAGGAGAGTTTTCTTGTTGATTTTGTAAGAGTAAAGGCAACAGTCAGCCATTTCTTTGGCTAATGCATGCGATTCTTGAGTAAAATTTAAGCCTTGTTACTTTGGAAGGATTTAAAGGAATAAGACATATGTGAATAAAATGATATGAGATCTGCATAATTCTGAATAATAAAATAAAGATTAAGATGGTAATATTGGTCTCTCAAATACTGCTATTTAAACCTTGAAAATCAATAAAGAGAAAAGATTAGTGGTGTTTCTTTGGTGCTAAAGATGTAAAGTTGAGACCAAATTGTTCTATTTTCATAGATTAAAGGTACAAAGAAAGATATTTAAAAACATTAAAATGGCTATTAAATTCTCTTGTTTGTAAAAAATCTCCTATGAAGCACACTTAGAAGAAATCCCTGAGTACATTAACCACTCTGTTAGTATCTTCCTTCATAAACAAAGATGAACAATTTTAAAGCTTTGCAAGACATAAAACATAATGCTTAGCAAAAGCAGTATCTGTATAAGATTCCCTTCACAGTGCTTATAAATTAGTTTATCAAATGCTTAATAGGAAAAAAAACAAATTTACAAAATTAAAATATATTTGAACACATTAACCATTCCTAGTTAAATCAAAAAACCATTCTCTTATACTCTCTGTATTTTGTTTTAGCCACTCAATGTTGTTTTTCACTGTTTCCAGCACTTGCTGCCTAGGTGTTTCTCCTGCTCCAGCTTCTGGATATTTTTTGAAAAAGCTCTCCATCTATAAAAGATAGGGAAATAATTAAGGAAGTCATTTTTAAGTCCAATTATTCTTCAAGAATTTCATTTACAGAAGTGGATTCGTCTCCTTCTTACCTAGAAATCCAGTATCACTACATGACATTGAGATACATCTCAGTGCATCATTTAGATTGAGCCTATCTCTCAGACTGGCCTTGTAACCCATGGCTTTTGGGTGCATGGCAGTGTGTCAAG